TATGTGGTCTTTTTTTTACTTCAGTCTATGTTCCTGGCATTACAAGGCTGTGATGGGAAGAAAAATGCAGTTCAGACATAGACAAAGTCTAGTTTTCTTATTTTGGTAAACTGTGGGCAAGGCTAAATTCTGCAAATAAACATCTGGTTTCTAGTCTAAAACATAGTAGTGCTTCATGAGCAAATACTGCAACGTTGAGGTGTACAACCAGCCGAGACTTACAGTGTTCTCTTATGTTTAAGAATCTCAGGACTACTGAGACTTGGAGTAAATAAAACACATTATCTGGCTTTAATCTATTCAGGCCCAAAGTATCATTAATACGATGTGGTTCTGAAAGGAAAGGTCACTGGAATGACCAAGATATCCACGTACCCAAGCATCAGTCAGATTTAGAAATGTGTGTAATTGCCCCTAAATAGCCAAGCCTCCTATAATTTTAGTAATTTCCACTTATGTCTCTGGAGAGTGTTGTCATAAACACCTCTCACCTGGCACTTTTGCCTCCCCAGTTCATGCTATAAATAGGTGACCAGTGGGGTCTGGTTTGGGGCTAGAATTTTGTTTTGCACTGAGAATGGGGATAGACCCCTTCCCTGTGTGGACAGACCCAGAGTACATGGAAAAGGTAAAGCTCCTGCTTGTCTTTGTGCCCAGAGTCTCTACTTCCAGCCTTAACCCTTAATGGTTACTAGCAAAGACTCTATGTACCAGTGCCTCCAAGACTTGCATAGGTCTCTAACGGTGGTTTTGTTTTGTTTTATTTTGAGACAGTGTCTCCCTGTAGTCCAAGATGGCCTGGAACTCAAAAAGCTGGTCTTGGACTCACAGAGATCTTCCTGCCAAGTGCTGGGATTACAGATGTGCACCACCATATCTGGCTCTTACAGCATTTTAGAGATCTAATTTGTATGAAGAAACCTAGGATAGGGGCTGGAGAGATGGCTCAGTGGTTAAGAGCACTGGCTGCTCTTGCAGAGGACCTGGGTTCAATTACCAGCACCCACATGGTGGCTAACAACTGTCTATAACTCAAGTTCCGGGGGATCCAATCCCCTCTTCTGACCTCTGTGGGCATTGCATGACATGGGTCCACTTACATACATGAAGGCAATACGCCCATTTATATAAAATAAAAATAATACATTTTTTTTAAAAAAAGATACCTAGTATGGCAATTGCTCATGAACTCATGGGGAATAGAGATAATGCTTAAGTTCTTCACCAGAGATTGCAAACTGACTTCACCTCAGGGGTCAGCCTTGGTCGATTAGGAATGATTATGTGGAGTGTTGAGTTCAGAAAGCTCTTGAGGTCACATATGAACTCAGACCTTTCTGAACC